TCTCTCCATATCAGGATCGGAGCCGCCCGGGCGCGCCGCCAGATGTGCGTACTCGCCGCTGCGTGTTCCAGGCATGACCAATGGTGCCCAAGCCAGGAGCATGACTCCACCGCGCTGGCATCTCTCCCTCCGCTAAATTGGGGGGGGAAGGGGGGCGGGGCAACGGGGGAGGCGGGTCCCAGTCACAGCCCAGACTAGGTGAGGTTGGGAAGCGGGCGCGACCTTTCTCTAAAATGCGTGGTCATTTTCTGGAGCTTCGGGACAGTGCCCCCTCCCCCGCCTGCCGACGCCTTCCCAAGCAGGGGGCGGGGTTGGGACTGGAGCTTTCATCTGTGCTGTGGGACGGGTGCCCAAAGCCACCCTTCCGCGTATCCGCGGCGGGACCGCGAGAAGCCGGTCAGTTAACCCCAACGCGGAGGGCGGCAATCGGTGGGCACCGTGAGCCGGAGCCCGCAACCCGGCACAGCCCGTGCGAGCGCACTCGCGGGAACGCCCCAGGTCCTTGGGAACCCGACTCAGGCGAGGGCGAGTAGTAGGACCATATCGATTCAGAATTTTTTTTTTTTTTTAAACAATCACAAAGCGTTTGAAATTGACCGGGAGACGCTCAGTGAAACCAAGAGCGTGTAAAGACGAGAGACCTAGAGAAATCAGCGGCAACCCGAAGGGAAAGGGCCGGAGGGGGCTGATGCCGGCGGCCAGCAAGAGAGGGGGAAAGAGTGGTGCTTTGGTCTCCGCAGTCCAGGCCGGGCTGAAGGGTCGCCCTGCTTTCAGGTATTATTTAGGGAAAACCCATCTTCAGCCTTCACGTGTTTTTCTGCGCCCCGAGCGAATTGGGCTGGGACCAGACGGCCCGAAATGGGGACGCCTTGACCACAGCCGGAATGGGGCCCGGCGGCAAAATCCCCTCCGTCCTCAAGTCGGGGTGACGGAAAAGGTGGGGTCCCACGGCCCAAGATTCGAGCTGAGGTCTCGCAGAACTGAGTTTGAACCTTTTAAACGACTTCCTGGTTCCGATTGCCCGGCCCCAACCGTCTCTGCTCAGAGAACGGCCGAACCAGGGACCTTCTCAAATGCCCACGGCCGGCTGTATGGACGCGAGTGTCCCGGGACGTTCGCACCTGTCTGGTAGCAAGACCCGCGCGCGCCGGCGGGGAATGGGAGCAGAAACACCTGATTCCACCTGCCTCTTGGGTTTGGTGATTTGGGGTAAGAACGAGAGATGCCCCAGAGTACGGGGTCTCACCCGAAGACCCCACCCCACGGCGCCTGAGGGGCCGTTAAGGTCGTAACGAGGTCCAGGAAGTCGCGCGTTGTACCGGGCCCTGGGAATCAGCATCCGTCTCCCCAGCTCTGCTGACGGGGAGCAGCCCGGGGCAGATACCCTCAGGGCTGCGGATCAAATCGAGTTCCCCGCACCCGGGTTCCTCGCCCCCAAGCCCGAGCCTCACAGAGGACACCCCCCCTCTTGGGTCTGGGACAACGCGGAGGGCGACCTCGGAAAGCCTCCCGCCCCGGGACCGCCGAGCCTCAGGGTTCCCCGCGGGATCCTCGGAGATTCTGCTCTGGACCTGACCCGATATCCAGGCGCGCGCGGGAAGTGTTTTTGCTTTACTTTTCGCCCTGGTAACGGCTTTCTCGGCCCCACCCTCCGTCTCCCACGCCCACATCCCCTGGATCTCCGATCCACACCCCCGCACCCGCCTACCACAGAGGTGAGCGCAGGTAACCCCCGGGCGTGTCGGCACAACCTCCAGAACGCCCAGCGAGATACTTGTACATGGAAATGAAAGTTACTTGGGATTTCTACTTATCTACTATATCCACATATAGATGGTTCTGGGAGAAATAGCACCATTATAAAGTGAAACAAGGTGGGGGGGGGCACGTGAAGCTTTTTTTTCTCTCTCCCTTGCTGCGAAACACCTACAGAAATCTTTAACCAGTTTACAGGCTAAGCTATGATTCCATTAATACACCCTAGCCAGATCTGCGGAGATTTGGTCCTGTCCTTGAGGGAAAGTCTACTTAAGGCGTCAGAAAATAAACAGCCAGATCAGCATCTACAAAACAATGCAAGGACAGGGCAATTAAGATGGGAGAAGCCCACAGCACGTTGTCGGTTTATTTTTATTATCACTGTGCCTCGCGTTCCTCTTGTCAATCTTGTTTCCTTGAATCTTGAATCTCCCCAAGACACACCTGGATAAAATACTGTGAGCTGCTCACAGAAGTCGGAGGCTGACATTCTCTGCCTCATTCTCCTGCTGAAACTCTGAAAGTGATGAGAATCTCGGCAGAGAATCAGCCCACCCCCACTTAGACGAAACCCTGGCCCAAGGAAAACAAAAACGACTCCTGCTGGCTTCCCCTCAGCCTGCAGGAGTATGGTGAAATGCCTGGTGTGTTGGAGAGAGACTGAGAAAGAGCAGGAGGAGGGGAGAGCCCCCAAGGTCTGTGCACCAGGAAGGTGATCGATATCTGAGTCCTGTGTGTCCTCCTCTTACCCGGACTTAAGTTAATGCCACCGATGTCCAGTGTACACAGCTCACTACATGCAGGAGCAGGGCCATGCGGAGGAGGGGCGGGAAAGGCTTCCCACACAAAACACCTCTCTACACAAAGCCAAGAATGCCTCTCCCCGCTCAGGAGGAAGCCTCCGCTGGGGTTACTTCGGGGGTTAATCCTCAATGAAAGAGGGTTAAGCAGAGACTTGAATATTGCTGAGGTTTTACTCTGGAGAACCGCCTGAGGAGTCCACATTCAGATCAGCCCTGGTATGTTTTGCTGAGTGAGATAAGAACTGGAGACTTCGTGCAGGAACATGTGCAAAAGGAAGGGGAAAAATTAAAAGGGGTGGGGAAGGAACTGGGCAGCTAAAAACAGTCCGCTCGTGGCAACCAAATCTAAACACAAAAACATTGCCGGCAGCCAAAAGCCAAAAAGAAAGAAAAAAAATATTCAAGAGATATTTAAAGGCTTTAACAGTTTCTTAGCTCAATGCACATTCCCTTCCTACATTCCTCTCCCCCATTAGTCTGTTGTTCGCCCACCCCAAGACTCTGCTCACAGAGCTCTAGAAATTAGCCAGGGAAGCGGCAGAGTACTAGCAGCCCTGTCTGCCAGGCTCAACCTACTTATTTATCTTGGAAAGGGTGTAGGATGGATTTTCTTGATCTCTATTCTGGTTCCAAAGCCCATGCTTTCTACAAAGTCAGCTTGAATGTGGGGATTGCTAATTTAATCATCTCCAAAATGAGCATCCTCAGGAAACAGGACAGCATCACACAGTAGGCACTGGAGAGTGAAAGGCACTTTGGTTCTGGATTCGGGACTTAAAGGCTGTCTCACCTCAAGGAAGTCACTTCCTTAATTGAAAAATGGCACTACTAATATCACCTAATTCGTAAGGTGGTTGTGATATTCGTAAGGGGCACACAGTTGGCCTTCAGTAGTGGCATGGTTAATAACACATCAGGGCGGGCTTTCTGGGGGTACCCCTGAATCTCTCCAGGAGCTCCCTTGGTCCCCCTTGTCAGTGGCAGATAGTCACGGATGAAGTCAGGCAATATCCAGGAACAATGATCATGTAGGGGGAAGGAGTAGGATCCAGGCAGAAACTGATGAGAGCTGTTCTCCACCATACCAACTCCGCCATGCCCTGGGATTCTTCTCAGTGTTGTATGGACCCCTGGACTGGGAATATGGGATCTGGGCTCTGGTCTGGTCCTGCTTCAGATTTCTTGGGCAAGGTACTCACCCTTTCTGAGTCTCCCACTGTTTCTGAAACGAGGGGCCCTGGGCTGAGCTCTGATGATCCTGAATGGGGACCTTCTGCGGAAACCACTCTGTGACCCCCTGGCAACTCCCTTTAACAAAAACGGGGAGCGAGCAGACATCAAAGGGAAGGCACTGGCTAGAAAAAGGACAAATTCATTTTTGTAATCTCCCTTCCCCTAAAGAAAAACAAACTAGAGAAATGTCCGACTTGATGCTCCAACACAGCCTGTCCTTTCTTCCCCCCTGCCCCACTCCAACATTTCCAAGATTTTTATCCACCACGGACTGGACTTGGTGCCTTTCCAGAAAGGAGGGTGGCAGAACACCTGGGTGTGGATTCGCATATTTGGGGCTTTTGTGTGCAGTCTTTCATCAATAATCATAGACAACCCACCTTGGACCACAGGACCAAAACCCAGGTAGCAGCTATTTCCATTTGACAGGGCAAATCCTGGAGCCCCCAGAATCCAAAATGAAGTCCTGGAGGTCGGGAGATAAGCAGGATTCTGGAGACCTGGGACCCACCCACAGGTTTATCTCCTGCCAACTGAGTGACGTCGTGCAAATTATAAACATATCTCAGTGTTCCAGTCTATAAAATGGAACGCCTTAACATCGACTCCCTCTAAAGGGTTGTTGTAAGATTCAAATGAAATAATAGATGCAAAAGTGATTTGAAAATAATTAAAGGAATCATACTTTTAAGATGCCTTTGGGAGAACTTTTTTTTAATTAAAATTTTTGCCACTAAGACAATTTGTAAAACAGGAAAGAGAAAACAAAATTACCCAAATTGCAACACTGTTAGGACTATGGTGTGTTTCTCTCCAGTCTTTTTTCTCATATATGTGATTTTAAAATATAGTTATGACTTTAGATTGCACATCTTTGAAATTTGCTCTTTGCTTATTACTCTGAATGATATATGGTCTTTATTACCATCATATTTTCTTTTTTAAAGTATGATGTTGATTTTATCATGAAGTATAGCATATATACAAATGATTGCATAGAACAAATATACATTTTAGTAATAAAATACACCAAGAACCCTCCACTAAACTTAAGTAGACCACCACTGTCCCCAGTACTCACATGTTCCTGGTCACATCTGCCCCTTTCTGCCTCCCAGAGGTAACCACTGTCCTCATTCTTATTACCATAATTTGTAATGGCCAGTGGACACTATTATCATTTATT